TGCAGCAAAATACAATGAAGACAGGTGTAAGGTGTGGCCTGAGGCTGGAGGGCTTACCTGGGATGTGGCTTTACTTCTATTTCTTATCACAGATAAACCCTTAGAACTATGTTCTTAGCAGGTCCTTGCCAGGTATATGGACTGAACGTCATCCCCTAAAATAATCTATGTAGAAGCCGTAACCCCTGGGGCCTCAGAATGGAACTGAATGGAAATGGGGCTTTTGAAGAATTGTTGGTTGAGGTAAAAAGAGACCCTTAGGATCCTCCTCGGCCAATCTGATTGGTGTCCTTCGAGGAGGAGATGTCAAAAATTCATGGCCACAGTGGACAGACCATACGTAAATTCCTGAAGAGGGCATCATCTGCCGGCCTCAGAGACCTTGTGAGAGGGCCCCACCCACCTGGTTCCTAGCTTCCAACCTCCAGAAATCCAGAAAGCATCAGGTAATGGATGCACTAGGAGCAGACAGGGAGATGTATAACGGCAAGGGACACTTCCCAAGGATAGGCAGTGTTGTCTCCAGGTAGAAGTTTCTATGACCTTGAATGCCTTTTGGCTTTTCCAGAGGGATCTTTGAGGTGCTACACTCCAAAGCATCAGGTCATTGGTCAGCCCAGATGCAAACCTTTGGCCTGTTGCCTACTAGCTTCTTTTCAACTGCCAGGGCACCACCCCACGTGGACCACACTGCACCAGGCTCCTGACCCTGATTTGGCTTTGTATTATCAAAGGGATTTACTGTAAAAACAAGCAAACAAAATGACAAGAGAAACACACACACACACAAATACACATACACACACACACACAAACACACAAACACACACACACACACACACACACATATATATATATATATATATATATATATATATATATATACTGTTTCTCTGGGCATGAGACAACAGAAGTGGCAGGCTTATGGCAGGGACTTGAATGTAGGCTCTCCTAGCTTAGGATGGGAATCCACAGCTGTCTGACTCCCAGATAACAAATGTGGAACAAGTCCTTCAGTAGGCAACACCAACAGGGTGCTGCTTCCTGCCGAGAGCTACCCTGAACACACTGCAGGCTTTGGGGGAGCCTTAACCGTCACCTCAGTACGGCAGCACTGCAGATGTCACAGCGTGTCACAGGTAAGGCTTAGGGACTTCCAAGGCTTGCCTCCCGGCATTTGGGAAGGCTGGGACTAGCGCCAGTCACCAGCCTAAGTTCTCTACTCGATCTCAGAACTCTTGCCCATGTCTGCAGCCGATCACAAGGCCAGCGAGGCTGCTGCATAGAGGCATTTAGATAGGCCTAAGGAGTCTTTGTCCCCAGCTAGAATTTCTATGGCCTTGAATACCTTTCAGCTTTTCCAGAGGGGTGTTTGGGGTCATCAGGTCACCAATCAGCCCAGATGCAAACCTTTAGCCTGTTGCCTAGTAGACTCTTTTCAACTGCCACAGGGAGTCCAGGGGGGCCAGGGAGGCAAGGACTAGGAAGTTGGGGGGTTGTGGGCCCGGGAAAGCTGGCATCACCTGGAGGCCTATAGGGGCTGAGACACTTGGCTTGATAAGATGAGGGCCCAGAGGAAGCAGGCATAACCCAGCATGGTGCCACCTGCTCCCCAGCCCAGCCAGAGCATGGGTCTGCTGGCAGGCAGCCTGGGTTACTCTGGAAGGCCTGCTATATGGGCACCTACAGTGTTACTAGCAAAATCAGAAATCATTGGCAAACAGTGATTTCTCAAGGACAGGCAGAGAAGATGGCAATGGGGCCCAGAGGGACATCCTTCCTCCTCTAGAAGGGCTTTCCAGCCTCCATACCAGCACTACTCTGAGCTGACTTCTTCTTCACTGGGCTGGCTGCCAGGCATACACATAGTTCAAGCCACACGCTGCCTACTTGTGACCGTAGAAATGTCTCCAGAACTTGCCATATACTCCTAGGCAAAACAATTACTTCTGTGGAAAGGGACTTCTCTACCCTACCCATGTGTAAGACGGTTACAACACTAGAAAATTTTCCAAGTCTATGATATGCATTAGAAGAGCATTCCTGGGCTGGGTGGTGGTGGCACAAACCTTTAATCCCAGCACGCAGGAGGCAGGGGCAGGCAGATCTCTATGAGTTGGAGGCCAGTCTGGTCTACAAAGCTAAGGTTATAGGACAGCCAAAGCTGTTACACAGAGAGACCCTGTTTTGAAAAACCAAATAATAATAACAACAACAACAATAATAAAGAGAGAACATTCCACCCCTTTGTGCAGTGTAGTCTATCCACCCGTACAAAGCAGCCTGTTTGACCGGTGCTAATCTGCCCTACCTTTGGTCATTCCTTTCTGCTTAGCTAACTTCTAAAATACTGAAGGGACCCGAGAGTAGCAGGACCATCAGACTACAAGCTTCCTGACTTACATTTGGAGTTGAGTTTAGGAAGGACCAGGTTCTACTCTGTGTCTCTTCACACAATAGAAACCCTAACTAAGACACAAGGCCTTTAGGTCTTTTGATGTCAACTTGACTCAACCATGAAAAGGAAGCAGGGTTTCATGGGGCACAGGTCCTGCCTTACCCTCAATGCCCAGATCCTCACCAAACCTACAGATACAGCACTTCAGCATGGCCAAGCATTGAGTTCCCAGAGCACAGCACCACAAGGTTGCATTCTGACTTAGAACATTTCCCAGGAAGGCCATGAGTACACAGCACTGCAGCCAGGACTGCAAGCCAGGAGTGTGGACCAGGGTCTCCAGATAGCTCATCCTTTGACGAACACACACAGGAGCCACTCTGACAATGTAAAGCTTCCCTTGAGGTCAGAAACAAGTCTGGGACACCCAGTCTCTTCCCTGCTCTTAACACATTACTCAGCTAACACAGCACTCAGTTAGCGGAGTACTCAGCATGGTACTCGGTTAACAGAGTACTCAGTTAACACAGCGCTCACTCAGTTAACACAGCACTCACTCAGTTAACCCAGTACTCACTCAGTTAACACAGTACTCACTCAGTTAACACAGTAGTCAAAGCCCTAGACAGAGCAGTTGGGCCTGACAAAGCTTTAAGGCAGTCACACTAGAGAGTGACAAGGGAAATAATCTTAGTTCCCAGATGATGGATCTTTGTAAGAGGAAAAACCTAAGACTTCCTCAAAAAAATGTTACTAAGACTAATACAAATTCTGCCAAAAAAAAAACTGAAATAAACAAAAAAACACACTAAATTCAGTCAAGTTGCAGGACACAAAGTTAACACACACAAAACGTAGCAGCTGGTGCTGTGGTATACCTGTAACCCAGCACTGGGCAGTCAGAGGAGGGAGCGGTACTAGTTCCTGCTGGTTCAGGAACCCTGTCTTAAGAAACAAAGTTAGTCATTTGTGTACACACTAACAATTAACATTCTGAATGGGGAAATCAAGAAAAATCTAATTATACAAACATACTTAAATATAGACAGTTTTTGAGATAGGAACAAGCTATGTTGGCTTTCACGTGGCAACCCTCCTGCTCACTCTCCCAAGTGCTGGGATTACAGACATATGCAACCACATCCACCTCAGAATACCAGAATGAACTGAACAAAGACTCACAAGACTTGTATATGAATACCCCATATTCATGAACGTCAGAAAAGATTGCTAAACTGGGCATATAAAGGCATCTATAGGTCCAATGTAGCCCCCACCAAAAACTCAATGGTATTTTTTCACAAAAGTAAAAGAAAATCCTTAAATGTAATCTCAGATAACCCCCCCGCCCCCCCCCCAAAAAAAAACAATTCTGTTTGTTTTTTTTTTGAATGAGGACCATCCATTTAGCCTATGCTGAACTGGAACCTCTCGCTGTTGCCCAGGATGGCCTCAAACTCACAAATCCTCTACCTCCCCTGGGACTGCAGACAAGCATCACAATGCCTAGCCCTGATCTTGAGGGACTCAAAACTGGAGCCTCACACTTTCCGATTTCAAAACATACAACAAAGCTAAAACAGTCATATGAGTTTAGACAAAAGATCATGTGACCAACACAAAGCTACAAGGATCAGAATAGTTAGACACTAGTCTGAAGGCAGACAGGCCAATGAGGCAGAACAGCGATCCCAAACTGAACTTGACACATATCACCCAATGAGCTTAGACAGGGAGAAGATCGCCCAGCACTTCCTGTGGTGGAAACCCACAGGGGAAGGAGACCTAACCTCTCCCTAGCCCAGATACAAAAATTAAGTCAATTATAGTCAGGTCTGATGGCATGCCAGTAGCCCCTGCACTCATGAGAATAATACATTGAGGCCAGGCTAATAAATAAGAAACAGTCTCCAAAGGGCAGAGAAAATCCAGCCCTAAAGCCATAATATTCCTAAAAGAGAACATGGGTGAAGCTTTTGGCCATTGTTGCTAACTGAGACAATAAAAGCACAAGCAACAAAAGCAAAAAGCAGGTACGTGAGATTACCACAACTCAGCTTCAACCCTTGAAGGAAACAATGAGCAGAGAACACCTACAATTCAACAAAAGAATAAACAAACCAACATAAATCTACACGGAGCTGGGTCTGCTGGCATGCCTGTAATCCCAGCACTGGGGATGCTAAGGCAGACTGAGAGTTTGAAGCCAGTCTGGGCTGCACAGAGAGAGCCACTTTCCCACCTCCATCCATCCCTCTAAAACCACAATCAAAGTTGTACTAAACAGTCCCAGTTTCTTAGGGAGAGTCGCTTGATCCCACGAGTTCAACATGTAGTCCCCCCGCCCAGCCTGTGCAACATAACATTACAAAACACATTGGCAAACATCTCAAATGGACATTTCAGAAAAGGCAAACAGACAAGCAGTGTATGGAAAGGTGCCCAGTGCCGCCCATAGCCAGGGAAATTCAAATCAATAGCACAGTTCAGAGAGGACGGGGTAAAACTGGAATACTCATGCACAAACAGTGAAATGTAAAACTGTCCTGTAGGCTTCATGGAAAACAAGATGGCGTGCTCACGAGAATAAAAACAGTCTTACCATCAGATCTATTGTTCGAGTTCGATTTCTGTGACTTGGATAAACGCGGCCAAAAGCAACTTAGGAAAGAATTTCTCTGACTTCCACTTCCAGGTCACACTCCCTCAGGAAGAGAAGCTGTTCCAGCAGAGGAAGATTGTCTGCCAACTTACTTCCAGACTCACCATGAGATAGATTCCTTACACAACCCAGGCCTGCCTGCTGTGGACAGCACCGCCTTCAGTGGGCTGGGCCTTCATGCATCAGTTACCAATTAAGACAATGAAGCACAGGTGCACCTGTACATAGGCCCACCTGAGGGAGGTCATCCTGGGTAAGTCAAGGAAACATCCACGTGATTAGCCGCCACATCCACAACCCTACATCTGGTGTATCAAAAGAATTGGAAGCAGTCTCAAAGAGGCATGCTGATAGCCGCTCTATTCTCAGATAGATTTGACCAGACATCTGTGGATGAATGAAAGGATCCACACATGGAATATGGGCTATGCATACGATGCAATATTGCTCACCCTTAAGGAAAAACATATGCCACAGGCTAAAACAAGGGTGGGTCTTAAGGACACCATGGTAAATGAAAGGAGCCAGTCACACAATAACCACATCTATGTGACTCCACTTATCTGAACTCAGACAGGAAGAGAGTGAGAAGGGGGCAGTTGCCGAATGGGTGCAGACCGTGAGTTTAACAACGTGGAAAAGTACTGGGATCTCTGTGCAGCAGTGAGCATCCAGCCGGCCCTCTGTCCTGTTAACCTGTTTAAAAAACAAAACCAAGAAAGAAAAACACCAGGCAAACGGGAGAAGTGAACTCATGTTTTGAAGTTTTGGACTTTTGTGATTGAGAGGGAAAGTTCTGTTTTTCGGAGCTGGTGAAAGCGCAGCACTCCCAGGAGGAGGCGGACTGGAGCGAGGGCGTCTCAAGGTCCCTTCCAGACTCAGGATTTAATGCCTGTTTATTGAGAACCTCTTGGTGCGCGTGTTCTCTGTACTGCATCGGAATGGAGTTTCCTGCGCGTCCTAAAAGCTTATGAGCTAAGGAGGCCAGAGAACAGGCAAGACATAAAAGCCTGTCAGAACACTGCGACAGCCTTAATCAGACTGTCTTTGCTTTTCTCTGCTTATAAGTCACTGGCTTTAAATTTAATATAGTGTCACGTCTTTATTTTTCTTAAAGTTTTCTTAAAAGATCATATAAAGATTTTCTTCCATGGTAAGACTTTTATATTATATTTTTCTTAAAATGGAGTATGGTACATTTACCCTCCATGAGACAAGTGCGTATAACTCACCTTGCTTTATTAACAACACTGCTCGAGGCTTCTATGCCCCTAGCAATAAAAATGTGTTTTCAGACCCATCAAACCAATGAAATCTGAGTCTTCAGAGCACAAGATAATGAAAATCTCTAGGCCGGTGTCTTTTACTACTTTTAATCTGTTAACAGACCCCGAGTGTCTCCGACGAAAGGCATTCTGGCGTGAATCGCTGTCGTTAATAGCATTCCATACAGGTAAGTCTTGATTATTCCAATTTCTCACAAATTTGGACACTTTTACTGCCTGTAACGTCTCTAGGGGAGAAAAAAGGAAAGAGACCCAGGCAATTGATTTCTCCAAACATACACAGAAATGTAGTATGCGGACCAGCAAGCCGATCTTACAAATGCTGGATGTGGAACCTGGGGTTTCCAGCCACAATGTCCTCTAACCTAGAGGACGAACTATCACCAAAAGCCCTCTCCAAATGGACTGAGTGTTACAGAGGCCACCAGTCTGAAGACAGGACTGTGGAGGCACTTTTTAAAGATGCAGCTGCAGGAAGAGCATTCTAGGGCTGGAGTACAACTGGGTCCTAGAGCACTTTCCCGGCATCTGCAAGGCCTTGGGTCCATCCGTAGCACTTGAAAAGCACCAAACAAAAATAAATGTCATCCCATCTCCCCCCTTCTTCCTCAAAAGAGAAGGCTACAGTACCCATGTGGAAGATGTCTGCCCTAGGAAAGGGAAAAGAAACACGCTTTTATGGTCTCCACAGCCAAGACGATTGTACACAAACAGATCCTGAGTCCCCACCTTCTTCCTTTAGCCTCCCATATAACCCAGTTATCCTTTCTGTCTCTCTGTTTGGCCTAACACAAATGCTTTTGGGCTTTGCCATCCCTTTGTTCCTCATCCTCCTTTCTTCCTTTTCTTGGGAGCTGTCCCCTTGTCACACACTGCTGAGAGGTGCTTTTCTCTTGCTAACCTGGCTTCTGTCCATTGACTTCTCAGGCCCAGTCAAAGTCCTCCCCTCCCCTGCAAGAATAACATCCTTCTTAAGGACAAGTCAATTCCTTATTGCTTTTCAAGAAAGTTAGTCACCTTTCATTATGATATGCACGTGAAATGTCTCCCGCAGGCTGGTGTGTTGAAGGTTGGTCCCTAGCTGTTTGGGTCTCTTTGGGAAAGTAGTGGGAATTATAGGACCTAGGTCCTAGCAAGAGTAAGGGAGCCACTGGGAATATACAGTTGGTTTTGGCTCACAGTCTGATGAGACAGTCCATTGTCGTGGAGAACTCATGGCAGAAGGAGATCACACACTGCATCCACAATCAGGAAGCTCTCTTCCCTCTTTATTCAGTCCAGGACTCCAGCACATGGATAATGTTGCCCACCTTCAGGGTGAAGTCTCCCCTCCTTAGCTAAAGTTTTTCTTAAAACATACTCATCGTCACCCAAGGTGCCACACAATGACACTAAATGTAGTCAAGTTTGCCATTAGGATTAATCATCACAGGAGCATGTCCTTAAAGGTGCTACCTGGCCTTCATCCCTGTCTCCTTTTCCTGCTTCCTCCGGGAGGCGAACAAACTCCTCTATCACCTGTGGCTGCCCTTGCTCAAGCATCCAGGGAAGGCCACTCACCCATGAGCTAAAACACAGCATTCCTCTCAATTTTGATAAGGAAAGTCAACTAACACGCCAGCTTTTTGAGAAACAGCATGTAGCTATCCAAAAGGGTATGAACTAGGGACTTGTTTGAGAAAACCCAACATCGTGAATGGGTTTTTGTGGCCTGATGTACCAAGAACTTGACCTGCACAAGGCTTGGGTGCACAGGAGGTATGAGAAAAAAAGGGAAATCTCCAGGTGGTCAGGGTGTACAGTTAGAAATGAATATTGTCTAGCTAGTGGGATGCCCCTCCCCCTGCCTTCTCTTGCTGGGGCTCCCTCTGTAAACTCCACCAATGTTCATTGCCAGCTAGGGGTCAGCCAATCAAAAGCACCATCAAGAAGTTGGAAGTCGGGAGGAAAAGAGAAGCCAGGGTGTTTCTCTGTCTTCAGGGTGGTCTTTCTGGGGAGCTATGTTTACTTCCTTGTTTGCTCCTCCAGCCAGTGGGTGGCTGCTGTGACTTCCTGGCTGTCTCACCATCCTGGGGCCTTCTAGCTTCTTCAACACCAGATGAAACTGGCCTGAGGGGGACATTTCATATTCAAGCCATAACGGGTTGTTTCCCTATATGTAGATGTGGTGGGAAGAGCTGGTAGAGGAGGGGATGGTGCAAACAGAGAGATGGGTAGGGACATATGGGTTGGGCATGCATATGCAAACTGATCAGTTTCCCTTTCTTTGTCTAGATTATCCAACCCCCTGCAATAGTAGGAGAAAAGGCAAACTCATTCCACCTCCAAACATGTAAGTCTTGTCTCTGCCAGACAGACATGGACACTCTCTTGGGTCCCCTCTCTGGGGTCCCCTCTCTTGGGTCCCCTCTCTGGGAGTCTGTCTCTTTGTGCTTCATCGTGTGCACCTCTGCTTTCACAGAAATTTGGCTGCTGCATACCTAGGTCTTGTTTTTTCTGCCTTTTTAGTCTTTAAATCAACATAGAAAAATGATCCATTCTTTCAATACTAGATAACCTCACCATGGCAGCATCAATATTGCATTGCTAATTTAAGATAAAAATAAAAAGAGAATGTGCCTGGTCTGCCAAATAATGTTACTATTCTGCGAGCACATAATTGTAACACTGCACTGTTTCTTATGGAGGTATTATTGTGAAATACAGAGACTGTTTCCAGACAATCAATATGAATGTAAGTCAGGACGGCCATTAGATGTGATTATATAATAATCCTAGATCTATAAACCCATGATGAGAAACCAGAACATCAACCCATGGATTCTACCTATTCATGTTTAAAATTTTTCAATTTTATTACTATTATTATATTTATTGTATGTGTATGAGCAAGATCACATGCTGTGGTGTGCATGTGGAGGTCAGAGAATAACTTACCGGTGTTAGGCCCCTCCTTCCAACAAGTAGGTCCTTGGACCAAGCTCAGGTCATTCACCATACATAACAGTAAGAACCTTTTACTAACTGAGCCATCTCTCTGGTTCTCAAGACACATCTGACTCTAAGCCTTAAAATCCTCTCGCTCTACCTTAGTTCCTGTTGTGATAAACACCATGACCAAAAGCAACTTGGAGAAGAACAAGTTTACTTTAGACTACAGGTTTCCAGCATCGAGGGAAGCCAAGGCAGAAGGCTGAAGCAGAGAGCACGGAACACCGCTCTTTACTCAAGCACTTGCTGGCTCGTGGTCAGCTACCTTTCTTACACAGCCCAGATCCACCTGCCCAGAAACGGCACAACCCACAACAGGGTGGGTCTGCCTACATAGTTGCTGTTTTTACTTAAAACAAATGCCAATTCTTTTCCATTTAAGTTGAAATTTTTTTTTCTCTTAACAGCAACTGAGGGGCCATTTTTAATCAGGAAATTGACACATCTGACAAACTTTATTTTGAAGAGATGTTGCCCTAGTCTTTTATCACGGAAAAAAAATAGGCAAACATTTTTAAATTAACAAATTTAAAATAAAGCACAGAAAAATAGATGTATATAAATATATCAGACTTTGTTTTGGTTAATATCTTTTTCCCCAGTCATGTTTGCACTATGTAGAATTGGCTGATCTTGTGTAAACCAGGCTGCCTCTGCCTCCTGAGTGTCAGGATTAAAGGTGAGCACCACCATGCCTGGCCCCAATCCTTAATGTAAAAAAAAAAAAAAAAAAAAAAAAAAAAATGTGCTATAGCTTTCAAAGAAATACAAATAAAAATGATAATCTGTGGACTTAATGTAAGTATGTAGGGTGCTGGAG